GGATGTTTTGTCTGTGAATTATTCTGTGAGGACTCTTAGCTAGAAGTGTTATGGTACTTTTATGCATTGATTGTGCTATCTCAGCAAGCCAGATATTTACTCCTTAGATGGCAGTTTGCTCTCACACTGATTTTCAAAAACCCTCTTCTTATATACCTCCGATGACCTGTCAATTTTCTTATAACAGGATTGGTCTGAGGTTGTCAAAACCATAAGATTTAAATTCAATTGGCTTTGAATTGCTAAGTGTTTAGTTCAAATTAATTGGCTGACCTTCAAGCTAGTTGCCAAAACAGCAAAACAAGCCTATGGTTTCCAATCTCATAGCCAATTGATACATGTTTCAATTTCAGAATTGTCTGTACCTCTTCAGCTGCTTACAGACAGATTTTCATTTCAATCTCCAAAGTTTATAAAAGAACATCACCTCTTAAAGGGACAAAACTCCCTCCCCCCATCATTTTTACAAACAAATTCTAACTTCCTGCCTTCCAATTCACAAGTACTCTACACAACTTCATAACAATGTGTCACTGTCAATGACTGGGCAAAGCGGCGTAGCACAAGAGGGTGACAATGCATCAGGATGCAACCCCTCACCTGCAGCCAGCAGCCCCCAGTCCTGAAGACTAACCGAGTCTCAGTTCCATGGCAACAAACCACCCCTCTACCCTCATTTCCAAGAAATTGCATTTGTTGTCGAGTGCAAGTTCTGCTTCCTGTTGGCAGTGCAGTACATCTCACACACTAGTGTCATGTTCTGTCTAGACTGGACCCATGGATCAAGGCATCATCCACATGACTTTCAACTCCATTCAGTCATAAAGTCATAGAGCCACAGAGTTGTACAGCACCGACCAGATATCCCAAATTAATCTAGTCCAGCATTTGCCCGTATCCCTCTAAACCCTTCCTATTCATATACCCATCAAGGTGCCTTTTAAATGCTGTAATTGTACCAGCTTTCTCCACTTCGTCTGGCAGTTCATTCTATACATGCACCATGCACTATGCAAAAAAGTTGCCCCTGAGGTCCCTTTTAAATCTTTTCCCCCTCACCTTAAACCTACACCTTCTGGTTTTGGACTCCACTACCCTGGGGAAAGACCTTGGCTGTTCATGCTCCTCATGATTTTATAAACCTCTAAGGTCTCTCCTCAGCCTCCGAGACTCCAGAGAAAAAAGCCCCAGCCTACTCAGCCTCTCCCTATAACTCAAACACTCCAATCCCGACAACATCCTGAACCCTTTCAAGTTTAACAATATCTTTCCTGTAACAGGGAGACCAGAAATGAATGCAGTATTCTAAAAATTGCCTCACCAATGTCCTGTACAGCTGCAACATGATGTCCCAACTCGTATACTCAATGCACTGATCAATACAGGCTAGCATACCAAATGCCTTCTTCAGCATCCTGTCTACCTGTAATTCCATTTTCAAGGAACTATGCACCTACACCCCTTGGTCATTTTGTTCAGCAACACTCCCCAGGGCCCTACCATTAACTGTATAAGTCTTTCCAGGGTACTTTCTACTATCCTCCAACGGCTTTCCTCTGCTGATGTGATGGCTATTTAAAACTTCATTCACAGAACATGGGCTTTGCTGGCTAAGCTAGCATTTTTGCCCATCCCCAAAGGGCAGTTAAGAGTCACAACATTGCCGTAGGTCTGGTGTCACATGTAGGCCAGACCAAGCAAGGGTGGTAGATTTCCCTTCCCTAAAAAGACATTGGTGAACTAGATGGGATTTTCCAACAATTGGTAATGGATTCATGGCTATCATTCGACTCTTAATTCCAGATTTTTATTGAATTCATATTGCACCACCTGTCATGGCAAGATTCAAACTCAGGTCTCCAGAATATTTCCTCTGTCTCAGCAATAACTATCCAGTAATAACACCACTGAAGTCTAATCTGTTAAAGCAAAGCCTCCCAAACAACCTCATGAGGGTCGTGAGTGACTTGCACTTCATTGAAGGGTAATTTCAAAAAACCCTATCAATCTTCATGAAGATTGAACTCTTTCCCAATTTCTATAAACTCTCATCCATAGGGACACAGGCATCAAGAGCTTTAATTACTTCCTCATACATGACATTTTCCTGACTAGTCACTCATCTCATATAGCAGTGTACTGACCTGCTCGCCTCTCACTTGTAGTGTGAGCCAAAATAATACAGTATCTGACAAATTTTCAGGCCAATGTAGCAAAGCTTCTATGTTGTTGTGGCCTGAAACCTGCTCAAAGTTTTCTCGTAAATGCAGAAACTTTTCAAAACAATTCTTTGACTTGTTGCCACCATGTAATATTTTTGGTATTGTATAACTGATATCAAATACCTCTGGGGGGAGTTCAGAGTCAGTGAAACACCAACTTTATTGGAACATATCCTACTACATCTTGATGCGCAGTTGTACAAAAGAGAGCAAGTTTATGTGACATTACATCACTTCCTATAATGAGGCACACTATATTTGATTGGTACATTACAATTAAAGTTACAATTAGCCCCTTACAACACACAAGTCAAACAATGAACTAATTTAATGAAGGAGAAAGACCTTTACAGAAGCCAAAATACAAGGAAGAAATTGGATTAGTTTTGGCTCAATTTTAACTCTGAAATAGATTTGAATGTTTTAAAATTGTGCCAATTTAATATCACAAACTGGTGATAGTTCACAAAGAATAAAAGCCTAGTCAGTGAAATGAGCTCTTCTGAATAAATCCTGAACAAATGCAATAGTTGACAACCTGATTCTTGAATCATCCAGCAGAATAATTGAATCTGGATTTGCATCACTATCTATCCAGGGAGTTACATTTTGTACAAATCCATTTTATGACCGGATAAAAACCGAACTGTTGATGCATGAAGGGCACAAACTATTCATCAAATACAAACAGATAATCTCTATGTACAACCTTTACAACTGAAACAAGTGTTAAGCTCAAAACATGCATAGCATTTAAACAGCTTTTTCATTGTTTTATCTGCTTGACTTCGCACTGACACCTGGTTCAGTTTCATAAAGTGACCAACTATAGACTGAGACATTGGTTGATTTTTGACTGGATTTCTGTAATTAGTTCTAATGATGCATTTGACATATTTTGTGACCAAAGGGCTCACAAAGCTGTGACGCTGTCTCTCGAGCAGTTAAGGTCGAAGTCTACAAATTAGTTTGCTTTTAAATTAAGGGTTATTTAAATTTTGAGTCTTAAAACTAATTTCAATTTAATAGATATGGCAAACAAAAAAGAAACACTGATGACAGGTCATCAACTGTCATCTCAAACATTTTTTCCCTTCACATCTACTGCCAGATCTGCTAAATATGTCCAGCATTTTCTGTTTTCATTTAATATTAGAAAAACATCCCAATTTACCATAACCGACTAACACTGAGATTATATCTTAATCCTAAACCTGACCATTGGAAGGTTAGCCAAGTAACTATTACTCTACCTGGGAAAAATTGTAACCTTAAATCTAAATGATCACTCTCTAAGTTGCTGGGGAGAACAATCAAGAGCAAGAACCTTAGCTGAAGTTCATTGCCTCTTTGTTCCAGAGGCATTGAGGCCCTCCAAAAGGAGATTGGCTAATTCAGCAAAAAGACCTTCAACCCCATTGACCTACAATATGTCAGGTGATACACTCAAACAGTTGGTTAACTGGGTACCTTATAGACAACTTTCTACCTTAAATGTTGAGTGAACGCTTGCTCTATTTTGCATCTTCAACAACAGTACACTGCTTACAGAATTCCTGATGTGGACGTACCAGTGTTGGACTGCTGTGGAAAACAATATCAGAAGTCACACAACACCAGGTTATTTTAAAATTATTATTTTATTTATTTGAAATTACCTGCTCCTTCACCTGACGAAGGAGCAGCACTCCAAAGGCTTGTGATTTCAAATAAACCCATTGGACTATAACTTGGTATTGTGTGATTTCTGACTTTACAAAATTCCTAACTGACAGAAACATAGTTGCCAGAAAAAATGACAAGCATAACGTTTGATCACTCAGTGATGTTACCTCCATGAGAAGACTTGTACTTCGAGTGGACTTTTATCAATGATAAGGTTAATAATAAATCTTTAGAAAGGACATTTTCCTACGGTACTCCTTTTATTACTTTCTGTCCTAATAAAGAATTTGGTTTTCAAAGGGTGATATGAAACTGAAAACCAAGTAGCTTGTGGTTCCTGATCCCCCACCTCAATGACAGCACTCTTTGTGACTATTTTTAAATGTGAAAAATTCATGTTCGAAAGGAAGAGATCTTAGAGTCTAATTAATGGCACTGAGTGCCTCTGAGAGACAGGAGCTATCTGCTAGCATCAGCAGCAATGACAGATGGCAGCCATAATGGGGCCTGCCCCTGCCATGTCATTGACAAAAGGTAGTTCCTTGGAGGGTCAGCAGCATTAACCCAAAAGATTGCTTTTGGAAGTTTCAATCCTGACTTCCCCAACTCATTAATTAACAACTCATTGAGCTTGTTAGAGGCAAACAGGTGCCCCATTCCCTCCCTTTGCCTGCACTTTGAAAATTGCAGATTGTCCTGGAGACATTGATATCAGAAGAAACCCTCTGGGATCCATAATATTTAAACTGCATTCACAGCTGACCCTGTCAGCATTCAAAACTCTGCCTAAACTGTTACAGAATAAACAAAAAACAGTCGTATCTTTCAGAAAGCAAACTTACCATAGGAGCCAACTACAGCATAGCAATGTAATAAATGGACAACAGACCAGTTGAGGCAATGATGGAGCTTAGATTGTCTTTGTGACAATACAATAAGACACCTCACAGCAACAAAAATAACAGTATAGATGACACCAAACCAGAATCCAGAAAAATTATGTCAGATTGAAAATATCTTTGAAGGAAAGTCATTGAATCAGTGAAGAAGTCTGGCATATTTTGATTTAACGAGTTATATATTTCTCAGTATAATTGGGAAGAGTCCATTTACCTTCCGTGAGTTCTCCTGATTGCTCTGCATGTCCCCCAGGAAAGATCTTGGCGACGTAAGCACCAATTTCCCCATTTCGTCCTGGAATCTCTTTCCCACCAATAATCCTGATTCCCAATCCATTTCCTGGGAGAAGAATAAGAAACAGATATCAACTATAAGAAGCAACAAATATTTTTGAGACCAATATTTCAAAGAATCAATTATTTAAATTTCTTGTTAAATGAATCTGTTTAAATGTAATAGAGGGCTTGGATTGTAATTTGCCGTATCACATAGTGTGAAGTGATATCTTACCTCCAAAATTATTCTCTTGGAAAGTTCTTACAAAGGAACAGCGCTGAGCAGAGGTGGGTTAGAGAAGAACACAAACTTTGAGACCAAATCACCAAAACCTTCTGTGCACACAATGGTTTTACTCTAAGTGGCTGGCTAAAGACAAAATCATTGACCATGGATGCAGTCCTTCTCCTGAAGATCAGATTAATGTTAAAGTTTTGTGTTCATGTGCAGTGACCCACTGATGAGATGAACACTTTGGGTGAAATTTGATTGGTGTCTGAATAACATAGGAAATGGTGAGATTTGTGGCAGCATCCGACAAGAATTCCAGTGAGGCCTTTCGTTCCATTTGCTGAGCGGAGGGTGAGATTCTCACTAGGCCGTGGTGAACTGCCAATGTGGAGTGGGGGTACTGCTTGTGAAATGCCTTATTAATGGTCAACTCACCTAATTAATGTTCAGCTTCCTATTTAATCAAAAGTACTGAACAAGCTTCAAGAGTTCTTAACTCGGAAGTCAGAACAGGTACCTTGCAAATTCAACTCACCACTTGCTCCAAGGAACTACCATGTTAGAAGCTAGGGATCAGTTTCTCAAAGTATATTCCATGGGTACTGGCCAGATGTACCCCCATTTCCCATGGTCCTGGGAGATGAAGGCATCTTTTGTCTCCATTACCCTGTCCAGCAGGACTCCAAGTCCCAGTCAATAATTTCTCCTGCCCGCCATGTCTGGGTTAAATGATAGGAAGTGTGCAGCACACTTCCATATTGATGGGACTTGTCCAGGTGCACACTGGGCTTTTTCAGCATATATCTATTGAGTGGTGAGTTGTTCTAGGTACAGAGTATGATAAGGCAGGCGTAGAATTGCATGAGGTAGTTAATGAGGTGCATTTGGTAAAATCAAGTGAGGCTCTCCAGGCCTCATAGTGAGGATCCCTCCCAAAAAACTCAATGTAACTCCCAGTGAATGACAAATCACATACTTTTGGACAAACGATCGAAGTTTGTGTCAATTTGAGAATGCTGTTTAAGGCAATAGGGTTAGGGCTGAAGAAATTGAATCTGAAGGTGATGAAAGTCTGGATAAGGGTTTTGAATGAGGTCAGACTGAAGGTATATTCAGTTAATTGATAGGAACTGGTGTGTGACTCTCCAGCTGCTCCAAAAACATATCCTTGAGCCACCACTGTCTCTTCCTCATTCACATTCTTCCCCTTTGACTACATTAGCTTAAGATAATGGGTCAGTCACACCTATGCTGACAACACCTCTACTTCCACTTGTGTTTCTCAACCCTTTCTTCAATTCCCAGTTTCATGCTGCACATCTCAGCTGCAGTCTAAAGTGAAACACAATTCCTACAGTGGAACATTCCAACACAACATCTTTCCCCTGATGATGCTAGTATTGACAGTTTCCTTGACCAGAATAGATATTTCACAAGTTCAGTATCCTATTGAACCACAAACTGTCCCTATGTGCTATATGTCACAAAATCCACCTAGATTCCCAGCCAGAACATAACCTGTGCACTATGAAGGGAATCTCTTAACTTTAATTGTTTCTAAGTCAGGCTTCCATTCTGTAACTTCTGACAATTTTAGTTCATCCACACTTTGACCAGGCAACCTATCCTGCACCGAGTCCTACTCACTCATAACTTTGCCACTGCTTACTTACACTGAACCTTGACTCTTCAATGCTTCAAATTTAAAATACACATGGGCATTGCCCTGAAACTGTAATCCTCCATCACCACACACCGATGCCCAGTTTGGGTTCAGCCTGGGCCACTCAGCTCCTGACGTCATTACAGCCTTGGTTCAAACATGGACACCTCCAGAAGTGAGGTGACAGTGATTGTTCTTGACATCAAAGCTTGACTGGGTGTGGCATCAAGGTACCCCAGCAAAACTAGAGTCAATGGGAATCTAGGAAAATATTTCCACTGGTCACATCATACCTGGCACGTAGGAAGATTGTTGCAGTTATTGGAGGTTAGTTATGTCAGTTCAAGGGCATCTCTGCTGGAGTTCCTCAGGGTAGTGTTCTAGGCCCAACTATCTTCAGTTGCTTCATCAATGGCCTTCCCTCCATCATAAGGTCTGAAGTGGGGATGTTCACTGATAATTGCACAATGTTCAGCGGCATTTGAGACTCGGAATTCGAGCCACACTCACTCTGCTCCTGCTCCGGGCTCTGGCCCGCAACTCACTTCCGGGATTTGGTCTGCGTTCTCTCTGCTCCCCTGTACTGGGCTGGTCTCGGACTCCATTCTCCATCCCCTCCAGCTGGGTAGTTTAAAAGTTAAAATTTGAGGGGAGGGAGGAGGGCGGCATTGGGGTCAAGAAAAACTGCAGCAAAGAGGGAAAGAAGCTCCGGCTGGAGCGTTTTACTCTGCCGCCATCTTGTACATCTTTGTTACCTTGACAATGTAATGTCACCAGTTTGTCAGTTGCTGAGGAGCAGGGCTGAAACCCCCAATATCGAATTCCTGCTGACCTTTTATAAAAGAAAGGGGGGACAGGACCAAGTCCATGTCTAGAGATGCTGGTGGGCCTGCCTTGAGGACAAGTCAGTGGGAGGGTTACATTGATTAGACAGTGTTGGCAGGCACGATTTGTCTAGTGTCCAAGCTGCAGCAATATGGACACATATTTGAAAAGATGATTGGAGACAGATTTTAAAAAGACGCAAAGGGGAAATTTTTTAAACAGAGGGTAGTTCGCATGTGAAATGAACTTTCTGAGGAAATGGTGGATCCGGGTACAATTACAATGTTTAAAAGACACTTGGATAAGTACAAGAGTGGGAAAGGTTTAGAGAGATATGGGCCTGGAGCTGGCAGGTGGGAGTAGTTTAGTTTGGGATTATGCTCGGCATGGACTGGTTGAAACTAAGGGTCTGTTTCCATGCTGTACGGCTCTATGACTTTATAACTTTATGACTCCTCGGACACTGAAGCAGTCCATGTCCAAATTTTAGAAAGGCCTGGACAAAATACAGGCTTGGGCTGACAAAGTAGCAAGTGATGTTCATGTCACACGAGCCAGGTAACAACCATCTCCAATAAGGTACAATGCAAACATCCCCAATGACATTCAATAACATCATCATCACTGAATCCCCCACTATCAATATCCTAAGGATTACCATTAACCAGAAACTGAACTGGATTAGTCATATAAATACCGAGCAGGTCAGAAGTTAGGAAATCTGCAGTGTGCAAGTCAGCTTCTGACTCCGCAAAGCCAGTCTACCATCAAAAAGACTCAAGTGAAGATTGTGATGCAATACTCCCCAGTTGCCTGGAAGCTTGACACTAACCAGGTCAAAGCAACCCGCTTGATCATGATCACATCTATAAACATCCAGTCCCTCTATACTGACGCTCAGTAGCAGCAGTGTGTACTATCTAAAAGATGCACTACAGATATTCACAAATGATTCTTAGACAGCATCTTCCAAACCCGTGACTTCTTCCATCTAGAAGATACATGGAACACCACCTCCTGTAGGTTCCTCTCCAAGACACTCACCATCCTGACTTGGAAATATACTGCTGTCCTGTCAGTGTTGCTGGGTCAAAATCCTGGAATCCCTCCATAATATCACTGTGGGTCTACCTGCAGCACATGGACTGCAGTGGTTCAAGAAGGCAGCTCACCACCATCTTCTCAAGGGGCATCTAGGGATAGGCAATAAATACTGGCCTGGCCAGCAACACCTACATCACACATGAATATATATAAAAGAAGGCTCCATTTTCTGATCGCTTCCATAATTTTCCTCCCTTCACCCGCCATTTACAGAATTACAGAATTGTTACAGTGCAAAAGGAGGCATATTTGGCCCTTTTTGCTTGCATCAGCTCTTCAAACAAGCATCATTACCTAATGCCAATCTCTTTTCTCTATATCCCTGCACAACATTTCTATCCCAAAGATCATCCAATGTCCTCTTGAATGCCTTAATTGAACCTGCCTCCACCATATTTCTGGTCAGTGTATTTCATAACCTAACTACTTGCTGTGTGAAGAAGTTTTTTTCTCACATTGTCCTTGTTTCATTTACGTATAACTTTAAATCTTATGTCCTTTCATTCTTGTTCCTCTTACAAGCAGAAACAGCTTCTCTCTATCTATTGATCAAACCATTCACATTTCTGAAAACCTCGATCGGTTCTCCTCCCAGCCATCTTCTCCCCGGCTACCAGATATCATAGATCAGAATTTCAATTCACTTTAATCTTATAAAGTGTAAAATCCTTATTTGTATCCAGTCTTCTTGTGTGCAGATGAGATTGTGAGTTTGAAATTGCGTTCATTCAGTGTTTATGGGAATAAACAGCCTTTATCTTTAAACTCACAACTTGTTGATGAGACTATAAGCTTAATGCTGGAAAGTAGCAGTTTTGGCAGTACAGACTCAATGGACCAAAGAGCTGCTTCTGTTATATAATTTTGTAAATTATTTAATTGCAATACATACTCCATATTTCCACAGAAAACATATTGGTTACAAGTAATAAAAGAGCATATAACACCTGTTCATGACACTATCCAAGATTGGAGTAGACGGGGAGAAATTGTTCTTACTTAGGAAATATCAAGGACGAGAGGGAACACATTGAAAGTGATTTGTGAAAGAAGCAAATGTGCTGTTAGAGAAAATAAAATTTCACCCAATGAGTGGTTCAGGTATGAAATACACTGCCTGGAAGCGTGGTGGAGACAGTTCAGCTTAAGGATTCTAGAGGGCATAGGATGGCTATTTAAATAGAAACCTTGTGCAAGGGTGGTGGGGAAATGGTAAGAGAATGGCACTAAGTTATAATGG